CGCATAACATAAATCCCACAAGCAAAAATGTATTTAGAATATATAATTTGAGTGCATACCAAAGTAGGAATGATTTGCAGACTTTTACAGGAGGATTTGGTAGAAGAAGAACAGCGAAAATGACCAAGTGGGAGTGAAAGCGAAAAGGAGTAAATATCGAAATTCCTTTTAGCACCTGATTTTAAGATAAATTTAAAAAGAGCCCAAATCACGTGACCAATAATACTAAGTTATTTGCAAGATAAATCATCGATTTTTCTTTAATTACAATCTTAAGCACAAACTTTTAATTTTATTAATTAAATTACAATTTTAATTTATTTATTTATTTTGCAAATTAAATCACAAACTAGAACTTTATCAACTTGCACTATTAGCAAACTAGATGATAAAATACTAAAATAAAATATAAACGTAACACAACCATATACCACACACTTTATTCGTAAGTTAGAAAATATCAAATTTTGACTCAAATTCAACTAGGTTCTCTCGAACTACCACATTAATCGAGGAAAATAATCTTAGGATCTCTATTATATATATATATATATATATATATATATATATATATATTATATTTGTCGTTTACGTTTGGATGATGTAATGTAAGAATTAGAATAATTTTTTATTTATATAGTACAAGTTATATAAACGATGTTTTTAGACATATCATTAACTGGTTACTGAACTCTAAACTCATGCTTCGACTTGAAAATTTTTGTTTTAAATTACAACTGAAATAAAAATTATAATTTTGTTTTGTAAAATTCGGCGTATGTTTTTGTTTTTCCTCTCAATTCTTAAATATAGTTGGGAGGTGGTATATAAATTTATTTGGAATAGACTCATGAAAACAACTAAATTAATAAGACTTAGATTCACTATACACTACAATAATTTATCACAAAGTAATAAATAGGGGGGCAAAATGTTGGGAGAATATCATTTCAATCTAAAAACAAGTTTAACACTTAACCATAAGTACCAACCGGGAATACTCAACAGAGAGTTCCGAGACAACACTTAGATTATCGATTTTTACTCTAACCTTGTTAAATCATTAACCTGTTGAAATAAGCATTTAAAGATATGAGGTTGATGGATAATTAACAATTGCAAGTTGCAACTACTCCCTATGTAAGATAAGTACAATGTGTGTGTAGAAACTTATGTGCGTGGCTATTATTAATGGTACCTTACACTCGTGACTTAATTGTTAGATGTACTCATTAAATATGTAGGAGTCCACCTACATTTACAAGTATAAAGTTTTAAACACAATTTCTTGTAGGTGTATTAAGCAGTCATACTTCATTCAT